CAGGACTTCCTGATTTGCCTGGTAGTCCTGGCATTCCAGGTTTGCCAATCCCTGGGTATCCCTGTGGTCCAGGAGATCCGGGTACTCCTGGTAAGCCTGGCAGCCCTTGTCCAGGCAAACCCGGAGGGCCCTGGGGCCCTGGAGGTCCTTGGGGGCCTGGAATCCCTTGAGGTCCTTCACGAATCCCCTCTCCCCCAGGGGGTGGGCCTTTAGCTCCGCGAGGGTTGAAGGGCAGGGTTGGACCTGTGCAAAAACAAAATGTATAGTTAATATTGTGCTTTATGATCTTAGTGTGGTTTAGAGAATGAGTCCTGTCACCTTTACTCTGGGGGAGGGGCCGCTCCTTGCCCTTTTGGAAGGGCAGCTGTGGAAACTGTGGTGGCAGAACGGGCATCTCGTTGCCTAAGTACTGCTGCTGGGGCAGAGGCTCGCTGTACTGGGGTAGAGGTTGGGGCTGGGGGGGCTGTTTGTGAGGGTAGTACGCCCCACTGTGAACCAGGGGAACCAGGCTCAACTCCAGCAGCGCCCCCAGGAGGCTGAGTGACGTCACCACTGCTACACGCATCTTCTGTAAGCAACAAGAGCACACTGCAAGTTAAAATGAAAGAAAAAAAACAACAAACACAAAACAAAGAAAACCTCCGTCTTTCAGACATTAATTTGTTGGCTGCAGTCACTGCCTTGGATTGAAGTGAAAAGTTATTATGAAAGTGACTGATTTAAGATCATACATGTTCCAATGTTAAACCAATGGAGATTGAAGGTGCTAAATACTACACTTGTGTTCACTGAAAAGCACTCACCGTGACTCTGATGTCTTTACCTGTATTGAGTGGTTCAGGCTGTTCCACGGCTCTTTTCTAATGTACATGATTTTTGCAAAGGCTTCTCTATGGGCATTTGGAAGTGCTACCAAAAATGACAGATTTCCAAACTAACTGTTGTTTTTTAAAGTTCCATCCGAGCTTTATACTGTGTTTTCATTATGTGAATCATGTTTACTGTAGGTGCAGTCACTCGTATACACCACTGGGGGCAGTGTGGTTTGGGTGCTCTTCTTACAGAGCAGAATGCTTTGTGGTCAGAGACTGAGCCTTCTGGAGCCAGGCTGTGGCTAATACCGCTCTGCCTCTTCTCTTTGTTTACACTCCCATTAGAGCTACAATGTAGAGCTTCATGCTCCGAGCAGAATAATATGCAGTACTACACTCACAGCTCAAACAGAGGATGTGATTAAGAGGCCCCAGAGGAGACACGCGCTCCACACAGTCCTTCAAACATCCTCATGCACAGCCTCATCTACTGGAATGTATGATTTTAATGTTCTAATCATATAACTGTAATTTAAAGGTGCACAGTGTAACTTCTCTGGTTTAGTGTCTGCTGCTTGCTTATTATTGCTTTGCCTGAAATGTTCCACAGTATGGCATTAAATATAAGTATCTTATCTTTTATTTTATTGTGGGTTGTTTTACTCAAAAATTCCTTGAAAAACATGCATTCTTACTGGGATACAATAGCCTTTCCACAGATCTGACCTGTAACTTGACCTGGTGGCATTAGCCGCTTGTCTCCATGGAGTTTAATGCCATACTGTTCAACATTACAGACAAAGCGATAAAAACAAGCAGGTAGTGGACATCCATGAAATACAGATGAAAAATAGCCTGGTACGAGTCTCACCTCAGCTCGGGCTCCTCACAGGTGGACTCCTCAGGGGCCTCTAGGTGGCTTCTCTGGCTCTTCTCCTACACATGGGTGGGAGAGCAGCCATGTACAGGTCCAGCTGGAGCCTGCAGTCCTGGGCCTGCACAGACACCAATATAATAAGAGACTTGAGAGATCGCTGCCATGGTTATCTGTCCTGTAGTAAAGACTGTCCAGCTCCAGCACACATGTTGTGAGTGTAGAATTGTACTCCAGCAGTCAGAGAAACTAAGGGAGCTGGACTTGATTTATAATTTACTCTTAAATATTTTGATAACTGAACATTTTTTGTATGTGTGCCCATTTACTACCAAATGTTTTATATCAAATGTATATTTTATAGGAGTGAAGTAAACAGAATAATGATCAATGTTGTGTCCGTGGTGCATTGACATAACCCGGTTCTTGCCAGACAAGTGTGTGAGCCCTTTGAACTGACTTCTTACACATCAGTGTGGTATGGCTCTCACTCAAAGAGATCTGAACCAATGATCAAAGCCTTTAAACAAATACTTCACACTGATTGGTCAAAGTGCCACAACAGTGGAACAAGGTGAACTTGATTCTCAAGAGTTTGTGAACTAAGAAAATCATAAGAATTCCTCTTGCTGGCAGGGCTGGCATTGACACTGTTCTATGAGAAATGTGTCAGTGAGAAAACACAAATGTGTTTGCACAGCCGTGTTTGAGCCTGACTGAAGGTGCGATAGAGGCTGTAGTGATCAGACTGATTTTAATCTGTATGCAAATTCTAGAGATCATCCTAGAATTGCAGGCAACTGGGTATGTGATCATGCAGTCTGCATTATCCATTAACAGGCACTTTCCCAATCCAAAGAATCCAAATGTTGAAACCATTGACCAAGTCTCCCTTAGTCAAAACTCTATTCATGTTTTATACACAAATTGGAAGCAGACGTTTCTACTTGAGTGCTTGAGCAAGAGAGCCTGTCTACACATTTAGCTCCGGTCCATTTGTAAAACATCTTGTTCAAATCTAAGACCGTCCAGGCTCTGATGCCTGAGGACTGATCTCCATAATTCAACCTGATTCTTGCTCATGTTAAAACCAGCCTCTCACTAGGGCTGGGAGACATTAATCCAGGCTTTTGCACTCTGTTCGATGCAACTGAATGAACAGTGGGTCAGTACAGTGAATGTGCAGTGCTCATGTATTTTGCTGTGTCAATGCAGCAGGTTCAGGAGCTTTTAGGACTGTCCCTGTACTGATGTGATCCACCCACCACAATGGACACATGAATCTGCACATGGACTTGATAATGAGCAGGAGTATGTACAGGGCTGAACTTTTTCTTACAGAGATGTGTGTGAGTCCTGTGTGAATGAATGCAGCAGTACAAATCTCTGTTTGTTACATGAAGAACAAACTAGTGTCATTTATCGAGCAGTCACATGCCAAACAGATCACCACACTAAAAAGGAGCAAAAACCCAACGCATTTTCTCACAGAGATGCTAAAGAAGATGCAGCACAGTTTTACTCCTCTGAATAAATTGACTTTTTTTTATGTGAAAAGATTTATGTTTTTATGAGTATCTTATGACTTTTTTATACTTATAAAGGACGTTTTTCATGTCCTGTCCTGGGCATCCGGGTTTTTTCTATAAAGTGATGCAAATGTTCAGGTTTTCATGATCTTTCATTGGGCCATTAAATTGAGTGGCTCTTATAGTTCTTTGTGCACACAGAAGGAGCGAGCAGACACAAACAGTCGACCAGCCTGTAACATGCATTTTTCTCCATTTCTTAAAGGTCAGAACTTTTAAAGCTGTTTCCTCTTCTCATTTCCTCTTTCAAAGTTATATTGGGAGTTGTTGGTATATGTTTGAGTAATCTTTAATCACTTATTTTCATATTTTCGTGCCCTGTGTTCACTCTCTGCTCTATACTAATTCTCTTCTACTAGTTTATTTTCTCAGTGAGTGATTAATGCAGCATCACATAGTGATTTTAGTATAAATAATAAAAAAAAAAAAAAACAAGGTTAGAGTAATATTGTGCAGATATCTGCATTAGTTGCTGGTGTTATGGATATGTCAACATGTCTTGTGACAACTTGGTGATGTGAGCGTTGCAAAAATCAAGAACCCAGCTTTAATAAAAGTTTTATTTTGTTTTAAGTGCTGTATCCGCTGTATCATGTTATTCAATCATTCCAGTGATATCTATGAAGCAAAGCACATGTGTCAGCTTGTGTGAATGTAGTGTTCACCGTGCGCACTACCCCAGACTGACACAGCTCCTTTGCATTGACTCCAGTGGACTCCACAGACAGACCTCTCACTGCTTCAGTGTGGACGAGTACATAAATCCACATCTCCACTTCAGACAGGGCAGAAAGGAAGCCACAGAAGAACATTTACATTTTATTTTGATGACGCCCCAGAGGCCCTGGGACAGGTGTCTGCACAGATGCCTGTGCGTCTGTCTGCAGAGGGCGGTTTTCTGTGGCGTGTGTGATATGAGCCATGTACACATCGGCCCCAAAATCCATAACACTGACTCAGTGTCATGATGATGTTTACAGTGACTTCAGCTCCCATTCAATATCTTTCTAAAGAGGTAGTGTGAAGACTGTTTCTTTAATTAACATGTTTTAGATGAATATTGCAGTTTAAAATGTGAAAATAATAACATCATGATCCACAGGTTGTAAATTTGAACTATGTAACAAGCTCAAGCACGATATATGATCTTTAAATCATATGAATTGTATTCTGTTAAATTATTTTAGTATATCTTACGTAGTTAGAACAAGTATCATTAAGATGAAAAAAAAAACAAAAAAAAAACATGGTAATATGGTATTCAATATAAAGTTCAGATTTCAGTAAACAACTGCATTGTTTTGAGAAAAGACCAAAGTGGCTGTAGAACATGCCCATGAGTGAAACCCCATGTGACAGGCACAGATAAGTCGTCATGTTCATTGGCCAGAATAATACTGATATGACAGTAGTGGCTTAGTTGTAGAACAGGAGTCATCCTCACATCCCTCCTCTGCCTCTTGTTGTATGCAGTAAACAGCTCTCTTTCCCCTTGTGGCTCAGGCTCATCCACGTAGGCCTGGGCCTCAGCCACTGCAGCGTCACGCACAATCATTTATGGCCACACAGAAACATAACAGGCCTTTTAAACTCACATCTTCAACATTAGCCAGTCGTCAATTAAATATGATTATTGGGTGCTGCTGAATTATTTCCCTTGAACTTGTGGTACTGCTGTCTTTGTGTTGTCACTGGCCTGTACGTGATCTATCCACTATAAAGAAAAGGCAGGATCCAGAGCTGCTTTTAGGTAGACTGGTTCTGAAAAAGGGACAGACCCTTCATCCTCTGACATCATTTTTACATTGATGAAGATTCCCTGACGTCTTTTTTTCATGGATGCTTGGAGACTTGGGACCAGGCCACCCAGAGCAACAGCACTGACGGTCACTTGTTTTTCTCCTTGTGTTAAATGGTTTGCCTCTCTAAATGGCTGTAGAACTTCAACCGTCTCCCTCAACGACTCCAGCGGTGTAAAGCATAGTTCTTTGTGACTTGTCTTTTCCAGTAAATCACACAGTACGTGACAATCACACTTGAGGAGAGCAATGACCTGCGAGCTGGTGAGCAGAAGAGAGCTTATTTTTGATTGTTCTGAGCCCATCACCCACTACAAGCTGCGCGTGCTGGGGTTTGTCAGTCGAAGCGTGGCTCTCCTGGCTCTATGGGCTCCACCGCTCTGGGCCATTTAGATCTGCGTCGTTGGCAGTGCTGTCATCCTCCACAAGAACACAGAAAGTGGATGCCAGCCTCATATTTGCTGCATTATCAGAAATTATGTAGTGCATTTTTCGGACGACAAGTCACTCCAGAGTATAAGTCACACCAGCCAAAAAATGTGTAATGAAGAAGAAAAAACATATATAAGTCGCACCAGACTATAAGTCACACTTTTTGGGGGAAATTTATTTGATAAAATCAGAGACCAGGAACCAACATTTCCTGTGTAAAGTCAAGCTGTAGTAATAACAGTAGAAGAGAGAACAACAGACTGTTAACGTCACATATGAACAGTTCTTCAGATAAACTATAACATAAACAACAGAACAGAACAAGTTTAACAAACTCTCCATCTCACTCCAAATCACTAAATCCATTCAATTCTTCATCCTCGGTGTCACTTCTGAACAACTCGACCTCCGGAGGTAAACAGAGCGCCGCTTCCTCTTCTGTGTCGCTGTCGTCAGACTCAGCATCAGTTAGAATTATTCTGGTCTTTCTGAATCCCGACAGGATGGTTTCAGTGTCACTGAAGTCCAGGCTTTGTCCATCCATCCAGTGACTTCAGGAAAGTTTCATGGTGCATCCTCACAAGTTTCTCTCTCACTCCAAACTTTCCTTCTGCTACTTGATTTCCATTTTCAGCTGCAGATTTTACAACTTGCAGTTTGTAATCTGCAAAATGTGGTTTTCTTTTGGGGGCATTTGTGTTCAGTTTTCTCAGTCGTCTTTATAAGTTTATTAAATGTTAAATTGTTCAGTGGTGCAGAAGTAATGGTGCGATCGACTGACATGATACAGACAGAGCAGAGGCTCTTTCTGCAGGAGACATGTGCAGTAGAGTGAAGTGACAGTGGAGGAACAGGAGCAGCAGATACTCACACACAAGACTAGAGCGCCCTCTCGTGGCTGTCACTGTGAACATTTTAATATATTAATCACAGGACCATGAAAAAAAGCAACTTGTTGTCTGAAAAATATGGTAGTGAAGAATGGAAAAAGTTAATGAGAAGTTTAGTTATGAAACCAGGGGGTGGCCGGTCCCTGTTGAGCTCCACAGTTTAAATCTCCACTGACTCTATCCTATTTTTTGCATCCAATTTTGGGATCATTCCATGTGTACTACCTCATTCTAACTTGGTACCGGTTTTCCACTGTAGAAAAGACTGTTGCTAAAGTTAGCGGTCAAGAGAAACAGCCTCCCAGAATCAAAGAGGGAAGCATCAAATGGAAATGCTAAGCAGCGCTGAGTGGGACCAATGGAAAAGTATTATTTGAAGTAAAACCAACACACAAGCTAATCTGCACTTAA